CTGCAACATAATAGTTACAAAAACAATCGTGATATTTTAGTGTAGCATAACAAATTGTAAATGCTTTTTCTGCTTCCTTCTCTAAATTAACCACGCGTAATATATAAATATCTAATTTTGATTTTATATTAAACGTGTATAAAATTGAATAAATAGACATATTTATTCTATGTGACATTATACATAGTAATTTTATGTCTTTGTTCAATTTTATATAAATTTAAATATTTAATTGAACACGCTCAAAATTGAACGCCAAACAGTCGTAAATATCAACTAAAATCAAATTAAAAGACATATTTATAGCTTATTCTGATTAACAATCCATCAATTCAAATCTACATTAGATTAAAAATGTTCATTAGAATTTGTCATTAGTAAATGTTTTACATTATTTTTACTTTTTCACCAAGGGTAGGTCATTTGCACATGGAATCTAGGTTAACTAAAAAGTGAGACCATAATTATAACTACGTCTGAAAATTGAGAAATAATTAATGCATCCCAACAACTATGGTTTGTAGTGGATAAACCATGTGTGATTGAGATTGGAATTGATATGATTCCACCAAGTTGCTTCAACAAACTTTTACTGCTACTACTATATTCAAACAAGGAATAAATGAATGGGGAAGAGATATTTAATACACTAGTTTCCCTTCTTCAATTATGAGTGTGACATTTCACAAAAAATTCCATACAAAAATAAAACGAATATAGTATATAGTTGGCCACTATCGATACGATCCAAGATAAATAATATAGCGCAATATTTAAAGAACGATAATTCAAAGCAAAGGAAACGGATGCGTCTCAAACAACAATCGAACAAACAATTCCGGTTTGATTTGATTCAGTTAGTCCATACATAAAAATAAAATAAATAACTTTCATTCTAAACGTGAAAAAGTGACAATAATCTATTCATTCGAAAAAACAGTTAGAATGACTGACATTATAAAACTTTTTATCACTAAATTTATCATGAATAAAACGTCAAAATTCACTATTTTTGTTATTGAAGGAAGAAACAGTGACTTTCGATCTCACAAAGTATTATCATAGACACTCACATACATGAAATCAATAAGATAAATGTTCTCACCTTGGATATTTTTGTTTTCATAAGTAAAATACAAATTTATTTTGATGAAAACATACCTATGATCTTTAATTTATTTTAAAAAAAATAATGTATGGAATTTGTTAGTTTGGTTACATTCATAGGTTTTTCGAACAAAAATATAACCAGATCAAATACTATTGATTTTTTTAAAATTTTAAAATCAAATCAAATTCAATCAAAATAAAATCGATTTGATTCAGTTTAAATATAGTAAACAATAAACCCACTACATTCTATATTATCTATACTATCCAAGATCATATCGACTAGTGCATGGATTATGATGAAATCGATCAAAATATTAGAGCATGCTATAAACTATAATCGTTAAAATCCATAACACAAAACTTATCGTAAAACGTATTTGATTATTGTATTGCAAAAAAGTATTGGTGATAATTTCTTTTTATTATCTAATTTTTGAAGTGTCGTGTTCGTATTAATGGTGAAAACGACTTGTTTTTCCTCTCTATACTTAGCTAGTGGGGTCCATTTGGCTGCTCACAATTCAAAGTAATACCCAATTTAATTAAACGAATCGGACCCATATAATTCAATGAACCATAATGCATACGGAGAACTGCGGACCTAAATCATCCGTACATCTATTTTATGTAACATATTTTGTATTTATGTTTTTTTTTATTTTTAATATTTAATTATTTCTTTAAGAGATCGATTTTTACGTGAAATTAATATGAGGCAAGTAAAATGAATTAAAGAGAGTATGAGTTTAGTTGTATGGTCGACAACTCATCAATTAATATTTTGTTACGTACACTACTATATATTTTCAGACGATTCCAACTCAAAATTGTTACATGAAAAAAGAATGTATTTATATTAGTGAAAATTGAATGATAATGGATTTGTGTGCTAAATTAGCAAAGTAGTTAGGGAGGTGATTTAATTGCTACTTCCAACAATAATAAGGACATCTATCTACTATTTAATGACTAAAAAACACTTGTCCAATCCACAGCTGGTTAAGAGTAGCTAAAATAACGTTTTCTCTATTTTTGGCTGCGTTTTGTTCACGGGATTTAATTAATTTGGCAGTAAGAAAAACACAAAATGGTGATTTTTATACCACACCAAAAGTATGAATTTGGAAACACAAAATTTCATGGAAGGTTTATTTCAATTTATCTTATGAGTACGAGAATCGAATTGGATTACTTTAATTTTCACGGTGACAAAATGGATGAAAATATGTAGACATATTATATGTTCAGTTTGTTTTATATTACTTGATCGTTATTAATTTTGGTATACTTCTTGAAAAAGTACTATAATAAAAATAACTTTTAGCGACATTAAATATTGATACTAATAAAAAGTATTAAAGTCTTTATTATCATAAGTTAAGTGTCATTAGAATCAATATCACTAAAAACTTTAGGAACTTATACAATGAATGACAATTACCGCTAAAAATACATATTTCTTAATTATCACATTGTACAAAAAAAAATTTAGCATATAATAATTTTGATATATATTAAAGTTTTTTTGATAAATATTTTGAGTCCGCTGAATCGTATGCTTAGACGATATGTTCGTTCCGTCGAATCACAAGCCTATAAACAAACATATGATACGAAAGTCAAGTCTGAATTCTTTCATGATATTTAAAATACTAATTCAATTTTTGAATAGATAATTTAAAATGGTTTTGGACTAAAGATCAAGCCATCTTTGGACTAAATCAGGGGCGTAACTAGTAAGGGATCTTGAGTTCATTCAGACTTCTTTTTGTAGAAAATTATATTATTTATATACGATTAAAAAAGAGAGTTCGAAGTCTAAAAGGCAAAATGACCAAAATTCTAAAAGAGTATATCAAAAAAATTCTAACCAAAATGGAAATTCAATACTGACGTAGCGATCATTTTAACGACGTTAAAGCAAAATCGTCGTTCGAGCAGCGATATTGCACAATTTTTATTTTTATTTTGAAATCGTTGCCTTGGCGATTTTTGATATTGTTTTTAAAAGTTTTTTCTTTTAAATAATTGTTGCCAATGCAGCGATTTTGGTCAAGTTTTAATTTTTTATTTGTGTATTTTAAATTGCTGCATTTACAACGATTTTAGTGAAATTTGTTTTTTTTTAATTATGAATTGAAAATCATTGCATTTGCAGCGACTTTAGTTATTTATTATTATTTTTGTGATTTTAATTATTTATTATTAATTTTTAAGTAAATCACCGCAAAAGCAATGATTTTAAAAAAAATTGTGCTGTATAATCGCTGCAAATGCAGCGATTTTTAGTTAGTTTTTTTTTTCACAAATTTTTTTAGTTTTTTATTTTATAATTTGAAACTTTTTTTTTTAATTTTATTTTATAAAATTAGTTTTTAGTTTTATTTGATTTTATTTTATAGAATTTTAATTTTATTTAATTGTTTATTTTAAATCGCTGCATTGATTTTAGTGAAACTTGTTTATTTTCATTATGAATTGTAAATATTTATAAAATAAAATAATAAAAAAGAATTTTCAATTTTTTAAAAAATCCACTAAAAATTTGTATAAAAGAAAAACTAAAATTCACTGCATTTGCAGATTATACAACACAATTTTTTTAAAAAAATAAAATCGATAAAAAAATTAAAATCCTTGCAAATGCAGCGATTTAAAATACACAAATGAAAAATTAAAATTTCATTAAAAAAAATTGCTGTCTTGGCAGCATTTTGTTAAAAAAAACTTTAAAAAAAAACAAACAACAAAAATCGCTGTCAAATTTCAAAATAAAAATAAAGATTGTGCAATATCGCTGCTCGAGCAGTGATTTTTCCTTAACATCATCAAAATAAATTGTTACGTCAGTAGCGATTTTACTGTTTTGATTAGAATTTTTTTTGATATATCCTTATGGAATTTTGTCAATTTTTTTGTCCTTTAATTTTCGAACTCTTAAAAAAGAGATATTATTTCACAATGAGAAGTTAATGAAAAGAAATTATAGTTGGCCAATTTGTGGGAGGACTACCTTTTTAAAAATTTTCTAATGTATAGTTATCGCAGATCGCCTACAAATGAGCGAAAATGTCTGTTTAGGTTGTGTCCAAAAAATATATGTATTGGGACCAAATTTTAGTGTACGTTTATATTTAAATTCTCTTCGAATTTTAAGTGCACTTAATTTATATTTAAATTCTCTTAATGAAAATTTGACTCGGTCCGCCAGCCGACCACTATCTCACTTGACTAATGAACACAATCGTAACTTCCAATTTACGCAATATAGTCTACGTCTCATGACATTTTTATGTTTATCAATTATCCACAATCTACAAATACATGGACAAAATAGTTTACGTAAGATGTCCTTTAGTTGAAAATAAAGTTCAAAAATCAACAACTTTTTCACGTTATAACCGCACTTCTAGTTAATCACTAATGAACAAAGATTTGTTAAAGAAAGAACAATCATTACAATTACCAATTAATCATGTTTGATTTAATTGTTTACAGTATTCCAGATTTGGATAAAGGAAATGTTTTAACTAAAATAATTCATAAACACTGCTTAAGATAGAATTAATACTAATGAAATATTGACACTAAATAAAGATTACAACCATGACATTACATTGCAACAAAAATCCACTGGCCTAGCCAAGACAAAAAACATTAGCTTAACCAATTTGGATTTTTATAAACCTAAAATATGAAGAAGAAAAAAACTACAAAGGAACTTGCCCTGCAATTGCCAAAAACTCCATTGCAGTGACTCAATGTTCCATGGACCTAGTGACCTAGAACCACCATTAACAATTATAAACAATGCAAAAATACAAAAAAAAAAATACATAAGACCTCATTAAACCTAGACTTAATTTGATAATTACTACTAATTTTTTTCTTAATTATTTTCTAATTTTATAGAGAGGCCCAATCAATTTCATGAGATGGATACTTCTGCAACAAAAAATTTTCTGACATGTCCCAAGTTGGCTCTTCCTCAGTGAACTCCGGGAATATCAGTTCGGTCACCGGCGATGATCCACCGGAACCGGAATGGGACCCGTCACTTTCGGATCCAACTTCTGCTGTTTTGCTCTCCTCTTCCTCCATCTTCACCACCGCCGCTTTCTCCGCCGACAACCCTTTGGTTTTCTTCTTCTTAGAGTCAATGCTCTTCCCCTGTGCCAAGCTTTGGCATATGTCCTTTAGCTTAGCATCAACTGAGGAATGCAATGGATTGTATTCACCAAAGTCGCCGCCGATTAGGTTGCCGTTGTGGCGGAGTTGAGGGAAGTTCAGTCGAGCAAAGTCGCCACGAAGCATATACGCCGCCTTGTCGTAAGCCAGAGCAGCTTCTTCAGCGGTGTCAAATGTACCAAGCCAAAGGCGGGTTCGGTTCTTAGGCAAACGGATCTCAGCGACCCACTTACCCCAGTGGCGTTGTCTAACACCTCTGTAGAGCTTCGTGGGTTTTGGTGGCGACCCAGATTGCTTCATTGGAACCGGCTTTGGAGCCAAGAAATTCATGGTGGAAGCATGATGGGCAGTCTGTAACATCATCTGCTGCTGCTGCTGTTGTTGTTGGTTTTGAAAGTTGATTTGAGCTTGAATTTGCTGGATCTGAATTGGGGTTAACTGATTCAGCCCAATTGAACCCTGTTGCTCCATTCCATACCCAGAAAACCCAGTTGAAAAGATTTGGGAATTCATCTCTGTGGAAGTGGAACAAACCTCAGAGCTCATAGTAGATGGGTAAAAAGAAGAAGTGTAGGGATATGAAATGGGAGGAGTTGGAGGAGGAAATGAAGGAAAAGATTGAAAATCTGAAGAAGGAAAAGTTGAAGAAGAAGAAGAAGGGAAAACAGGAGGAAAAGTAGAAGGTGGAGGAGAAGGAGAAGAAGAAGCACTTTTCATAAAAGGTTCAAGAGCTTCCATTAATTCACCACCAGAAGTAACAGGTTCTGATGATAATTCAAAATCTACACATGTACTATTCCAAAAATCCATAGCTGCCATATCTAAACAACGAAAAAAAAATAAAAATTCACACAACCTGTTTCTTATCAAATAAAAAGAACACAGGTAAGTGATTTCACTATAAACAGAAGAAAAAAAAACAGAGGTCTTCAAATAACAACCTCTATTTTTCTCCTTTAAAAACAAATCAAACTATAGGGGACAACTAATAAAGCCCTCTAATCTGATTATGCATAAAAAGAAAAAAAAAGGAACTATACTGAGTTATACTTTACTAGATCTCGATTCTGAAAACACCTGAGTTTGTAAAAAAAATCTTTTTCCTCTAATTAAAAGTTTGCATTTTCTCCATTTTTAAGTTCAAAAACATGAAAATCACAAACTCAAAAGTCAGAAAAACTTCTTGAAAAAACACAGATAGTTTACAGAAAGGGATCAAAGAAGCGGGATGATTACAGAAATGGGGAAGAAGAAGAAGAAGAAAAAAAGAAAATCAAAAGAAATATTTTGAAATATTTTTAATTTTTAAGTGTGTGGTGTGTGCAGGTGTGAGAAAAATATTGATGAGTATATCTCTCTCAGCCTCACTCTCTTTTTTTGTTGTGGTGTTTCATTTGTTATCAATGGCCCTCTTTTTATACTACTTTCGCCCATGGTTTTACCTTGTTAATCCTCCTCGTTAATTGTGTTACTCTCATTAATTTGATTCTCTAATTCCACTTGTAATTAATTAAACTAGTTTTTGTTTTACGTTACATTTTTTTTTCACAACCTGGAGCCAGTTGGTCAGTTCCACGTAGGATTTTTATTTTACCAGCAACTTGCGCGTCCTGTTACTTCACATCTGTCAGTTAAACATGTTTTGTGCGTTTGTTGACTGGATCAAGTGTTCACACTGACTTTTTTTTTAAAAAAAACACTCAAAATTTTAATTTAAACAACTTTTTGAATTCAAAGTATGAGTTTTTTAATTTACAATTAACATTTTGTTTATAAATAATAGGGAAAAAAAATCAATTTCATATGGATTTTCAATTAAGTCAGTATTTTGGTTATAAGATTTCAAACAAAGAAAGTCTTTTTAAAAATTTTGAGAACTTGACACATAAATTTATTGTTTTACAAAAAAAGAGTTGTTGATTATTGCAAAAGTAATTAGCAAAGTGTATTTTACATTCTGCTTTATCCAAAGAAAACTTTTGAAATTTGGGAAAATAAATTATATTTTAATAATCCTATGTTAAAGTTAAGGCATTGTTTATTATTTTTTTGTGAAAATATCAAAAAGTAAAAAGAAATATTTATGACGTATAAGTATGATAATATAATTGTTGTTGATGTTGATCAACAACCGATTTAAAATAGTAGTGCTATTTTATCTTTTCTTATTCAATGGAAAAATGCAAATTCAATTTGAAGAAATATCATTTGGAATCACATGATATTTTTCTTTACTTGTTAAGAAAATCTAAGCTATATGCGTTATCAATTATTAAATTAATTTGTTTTTTTTTTAGAATATGGTTTGATTAAGTTTTATTTTTATAAAAATAAATTTATTTATTGTAAGTGTAAGGGAAAAAATAATCGCTATAAGTGAAAAAGAATAAAGATAGTTAAACTAACTTAATGAAATAAAAATTATTTAAATTGTCAACTTGATAAAAATCCAATAAAAACCCGATACATTTATGGATTTTGATATATACTATTTGTATATTGATTAAATTTGTTCAAGATTTTTTTTCAAGCTACCTAACAAGAACGATGTACCGGTTCAGCTGTAAAATATGTATGAATTTGTGAAAAACACATTTAGGCATGGATATTAAGTTTGTCAGTAAATTTTATTTAGATATTCAAATTAAGATTTGTTTCACTTTCGATTGAACGCTTAGACATGTGATAAATTATTCATATTAGATACTTTCAGTTTAAATTTTGAAAAAGACATATTAGGTGTATTTTTAAATGTTCATTATATAGATAAATTAAACATTTAAAATATGTTTTGTCCTTAAATTATATATGTATGTGCCAATAAGCCGTAAAATATCATACCTTTTCAATTGAGAATGATATATATACACAAGGAGATGACAATATTTTATAAAGTTAATTTAATTATTTATTAGACATTTGATAACACACATTGATTTATTTTTATTCAAACACATTGATTTGTTTTTATTTAATCTGAAATTTTTAATACAAACAATTTATTCTAAATTCAAATGTCCAATGATTTTTTATTTTTATTTAAACACATTGATTTGTTTTTATTTAATCTGAAATTTTTAATACGAACTGTTTATTCTAAATTCAAATGTTTTAAAACAAATTATAAATCCAATTAAATTCTTTGTTTTTGTCAATGTATTAATCTTTTTTTATAAAAGAGTTGTGGCCTCGAAGGAATAAGTAGTCAAATTTTTTATTTGATAAAGTCAGAACTTGTTAGTTCTTTTTTTATTTTATTTTCATTTTTTGAACTATATAGACAGGTACAATGTCTCAACTTTGAAAATGTATTATGTGAGTACTGTTACTTTACTACTAAAATAAATGGCATTCAAATAATTTTGTCATATTCTAACTGCACAAAATCATGAGGTAGTCACATGATAATGTTGTATGGACTATATATGGAGTAGTTGAGGGAGTTGTAAGAAATATAAATTCTCCAACTATAACTTTTCATATTATTTTTTAATTATATTGTTTGTCTTTTTCTCTTAGACTTTATTTATGTATTAGTGACATGATTAGGTTAGTAATTTATAATATCCTTGCAACACAAAAATAATATAACAATATGCAAATGAGGTATGATGGGTGGCTCTTAAAGAAAGATCAACAGAAATATGAGATTATATTTATTAGTGAAATGATTAGGGATAAAATCTATTATCTATTATATATGTAAGTGACTTAATTAATTATAATTTTAGTTAGTTAGTCATTGGCTAAGATTGTTAATCAATATTTTTTCCAGTGTTGCCGTAATGTGATAAAGACATCACCTCTAGATGAATCATGACATTTCTATAGCATTTTCCAATTTATACAAATTTAGTTAATTGATGGTCATTATTTGTGCTTATCTTAATTAAGTGTTGATTGTTGATTATTAAATAATTAACAATTCGCTTACTTTGAAATTATTGACTATTTTATTTAATGGTTCGACATGGGTTTGAGATCATAGTTTATCTCTTTCATTTTTAAATGTTGATTATTAAATAATTAACAATTCGCATACTTTGAAATCATTGACTAATTTATAATTTATGGTTCGACATGGGTTTGAGATCATAGTTTATCTCTTACATTTTTAAATGTTAAAAGAAAGAGAGTTGATTTTCAGATGGTCACTTGACAAACCAATTTTTATTTTAAAAAGTAAATAGACCTTATTGTGTACTACAAAAATTGATATATTTTTATAAGTATTTCTTTAAAAATAAATAGCAATTTATTTTAATCAATCATTAAATTTTGACCTCCTTTTTATTTTATCGAAAGAAATACAGGTTGGAAGACATGATGCTTAGGGTTGGCTTCTTTGTGAATACTTTTAAATTGCAATATCGTGAGAAGCACAATCCCAGTTACTACTAAATTAAAAATTGTTGACTTTGATTTTATCTTTAATATTATTAAAGTCAAAATGTTTAAGAACCTACACGAATTATTATTAACGAGATATAATAAAATTATATAGGTTGTTTTTAAAAGCTAAAAAGAATGATCTGAAAATATATATAAAAAAAAAATTAAACCCATAATCATAATTACAAACTGTTGGATCAAATTTGAAATTCTGTGACCACCTTAGGTGACTAGTACTATTCACTTCTTTGCTCCTATTTAATCTAATAATGTAACAATTCATTAGATTCAAAGGATAAAAAGATTATAAAACCTGCAATAGAAGATGATAAATAACGAGAAAGAGTTGTTCAGATAGTAAACATTCTCTACTTAACTTCAAAAGTAAATTCGAGTCATCAAAAAAAAAATGTCCTAAAGAATAATATAGCAATGAAATATCAAATTATATTACAATAAAGAGTGAAACTCTATATATTTAGCGATAAAAAATTCCTATCATTAACTAATAACCTATAAGCCAAAAAGAATTGGAGGGGTTGTTCAATTTTCATATTAGTACTCTCTGCTTAATTTTAAAGTTATAGATTTGAATTATTTTTTTTAAAAAAAATTGAAATTCATATGAAGAATAATTCTTTTTTTTTAATTAAAAAAATGAAGCTAGTAATCTGAAGATTCTAATCATATGATGGATAAGTGTAATAACAGTAAAATTCACCTGAATAGATATGGGAAAAAAAAAAGAAGAACTAATTAGTCTACTTTTTAGGAATAATTACATTAATTAATTTAAATATTTAGTGAGTGTGGTTGGGTTACGGCGAAGGTAGCGCCGTAAAATAAGAGTGTGGTGCTACTTGTCTCACGTGAATACTTAACAAATTAAAATTTCCATTTATTTGCGGCGCCATTCACTAGATACGATTCGCACCCACCCATATCACATGGCTCACTCCTTGCAACAATCACTCTTTTTAACAACCTTTTTTTTTAAACGTGCTCGTTGATATTTATAGTGAAATTTAATTAAATTTAAATTTATATTAAAAAGTTTAATGAATGTTGATTCAAATACAAAAATTTTTAGTTAAAAATAAAAAAATATTTATCATTTCAAAGTAATATTAGAAGGCGGAGTT